GTGCGTCATCAGTCTCGCTTGCATATAGTATTGGATTGGAGACGCGCCTGAGGTTTGTTAGGCCGGCTGGCTCTGCAGCCAGAAGTGAGGAGGCACCCCAACATAATGCCACGTTGCGCTATGCCGCGACGCTGCTCCACCCAAATTGCATGCCTGCTGATCTCGTCTCTTGCCTCCCCCACTTTGGCCTCGGCGCCCGAATTCCGATTGAACTTCACAGGCAGCTCCCACTGGCAGGGTGCGAATGACCTAAGTGACATGCTTTCAGGCCTAGGCATCAGCGACGCGCCAGGGCGGCTCAGCGGCGGCTGCCGCGGCGGCGAGGAAGAGGGCGACGAGGAGGAGGCGGCCGGCGCGGCGCGGGCGCGGGACCTGCAGAGGCGGGCGGGGGAACTGGCAGAGGCGGCGGCGCATGCGGCGGCGACGGCGCGGGGGCTGGGGCCCAGCCTGCCGGACGGCGGAGCAAAGGTGCGCCGCCACCGGACGTGTGCCTGGCGCCAGCTGTGGGCGCGAGCTTGATGACTCCTGCTTTCTCTTGGACCCGGCGGCCGGCTGCCGAGTTGCTGCAGACTGCCACCCACACAATTTTATTGGACGAAATGCCAACTCAAAGCCGTATCCGTCCTCCTGCCGCTGCCCCCTCGCGGCCGCTGCTGACGCTGCTGCCAAACCGCTACACTTGTTGAATCGTTCACTACAGCTGCGCGCCCGTGAGGCGGCGCTCGAGTCGGAGCTTCGATCGGTCCTGGCGGAGCTGGAGCAGCTGCAGGGCAGCTGCGAAGGAGAAACGCAAGGTGGCAGCCCTGACGATGGTGGCGGCGAGCCGAATGCGGAGGCGAGCGGGTGTAGCTCGCCGGCACCATTGCAGCAGCAGCAGCAGCAGCAGCAGCAGCAGCCAGCCGAGGCTGCCACCAGCCAGCCGCCACAACTGCCGCGGCGGCGCGGTTTCGGGCGGGCTTCTCAGTCGCCACAGCACAGCCAGGGCCACACGCCGCCCTCCCAGGCCGCCGGGCCATCTCCCGCAGCCTCGGGCGCCGAGCGCGGAAGCGACGCCGCTGCCCAGAGCGGCGCGGCGGGCGGCGGCGGCGGCCAGACGGAGGCGGGCGGGCGGCGCGTCACACCGCCGCAAGAGCGGGCTGGCGGCGGCTGGCCGGAGGGCGGCGTGGCGCGGACGCCGGCGTCTTCATCTGCGGCCATGCCCCCATTCAGTGACATCACCAACGACTCATCCGGCCGTGGGACCTCTTCCGCCAGCGGCGGCGCGAGCAGCAGCCCAAGCCGCGGCGGCGGCGGCGGGGCTCCCCACGGCGCGGGCGGCGCGCGGCTCGCGGCGGCGCGCACGGTAGACGGCGCGGCGCCGGCGGCGGAAGATCTGCGGGCGCGCAAGCGGGTTCTGAGGGACGAGCTCTGGCGCTTGGAAAAGGAGGTCGCCCAGCTGCAGGCGCAGGGGCCCGGGCACTCCGCCCCCCCTTTATCCCAAGACGGGGACCGCCACCGGCATTCCAGCGGTGGCGCCGGCGCCGGCGGCGGCAGCGGCGTGCGCGGCGGGCGGCGGGAGGAGGGACGGGGGGTGGATGCCGCGCTCAGGGACCGGCGGCGACTGCAGGCGCGGCTGTACCGCGAATATAAGGAGATCAAGGAGCTGCTGCAGCTCGATGAGGGCCAGGCGCATGCGGCGGCAGCTGCACCGGCGGCGGGGCGGGGCTAGGAGTCGAATGGGCCATGCGCTGGGCGGCGTTTATTCAGGGCTGGACCGGATCCTGCAGTTGCGGTTTCAGCAGTCGCCACGCAGCGCCCGTCTCGGGCTCAGCGGCGGTGGGCTGCTCGCGCAACCGCGTTGTAAGCGGCGGCGTTTGCTTTTTGGTACGCAGTGATGGTGTACAAGGAAATTGAAGAGCTACTGCTGCTGGGTGAATCGCAGTCGCGCGCGGCGGCAGCTGCACCGGCGGCAGGGCGGGGGTAGGATCGGGGGTTGTTGCGGTTGCAGCAGTTGCCGCGCAGTGCTTATGCTGTGCTCAGAAGTGGCTGATTGCCTGCGCCGCTGTGTTGTAAGCAGCGTCTGTTCAGCTTTGGGGCCCGCGGATTTTTGTGTGCGCGAGCACAAAGCCGGTGCGGCTGGGCGTCGCGTCTACACCCCAAGTGCGCCACGGTCCCATTTTGGCTGGGCAGTGTGGGACCTGGAAAAGAAGGGGTGGCGACGCGCAAGGAAATGCGAGGGCGCTCGGGTGCTTTCCGCTCAGCGCCGCAGTAGCCAGGGCTGCGCGCAGCTCCCCGCGGCGTGCAGCGCGGCGCGCGTCGCTGTCTCCTGCAAGGGCTGGTTGCTGGGCAGCTCTGCGCAAGGTGCAGCTGCGGTGCAATGCAGCCTGCTGGACTGCTGCCGGCACTAAGTCTCTCCGGCTGGGCCAGCAGTGCTGAGACGAATGTAGTCATCCGCACAAAATTTACACACTCCACACAGTCCAGAAACGGGAGGAAAAAGCAGGAGGTCCTGCTGATGAGCAGTGGCGCACACACAAGCCAACAAGGGGAGGCGACAGGGCACGGCAGCAGTGCGCGCGCTGTCAAAAATCAGGGCGCGCGCCCGCTGATCGACGACAGCCGCCATCGCAGCAAGCGGCTCCGCGGCTGACCGTTTCGCGCGCCGGCGGCCCGCGGCCCTCGGGCCAGCAGGCGCGCCCCAACAAATTCCGCAAGCCCGCGCGGGCGCGCCGCCATGGCCCAGCCCCGCTCCGGGCGGCGCCGCCGCGAGGGCGCAGACCGCCCGCCGCGCGGCCGCTTGCCGCCCGAAATCCGGGACAAGCCAACCACCAAACCGGCTCGCCCGGGCGACCCCGGCGAACCCAAAATTCTAAACCATGACAAACTATGATGGTGTCTACGTGATCCAACGGTTCACGCCACGCTCTGCGTCTTCCAGAGGCCGTCGTTCAGGTGGTGCATCAGCTCAACCCCCACCCCCTTGTTCACGTCCCGCATCTCCCCTGTGGACATCTTGGTGAGGCCCACAGCCATGGCGTGCTCCTTGCCCTCCGCGTAGATGGCCACGGC